GATTCACAACGTCAAGCGTGACGTCGCGATATTTTATGATGTTGTTCTCAAAAATGCTACATTTGTCAATAAAAAAGCAATTATCTACAATTTAATTACGCAAAAATGAACCCGAAGACATATTAATTTTTTTACATAGATTTATTTCAAATCAATTCTATTTTTAAATACCAAAGGATAAACAAATTCGTCTGCATTATTTAAAAGTTATTGATATTTTTTAAATCAAAACCTTGCCTGAAAACAAGCCAAAAACGACGTTTTTCCTATACAATTCAATAGAAAACTGTCGAAAATGTAACTACAACCATGACATCTTTTGAATTCAATTACACAAAAACGGTGCAGACGAATTTTATAAAAATTTCAGAGAATGGAAATCAAAGGTAGAGAAACAATATAGGTAATTTTCATGGTATGTTTTCGAACACTTTTAAAAGCCCTGTAAACCCGCGACCTACGTTAAGCAAAATCATGTAGAAAATAGGGTATTTTCATGATATTCAATTTAAAATCATATAAAAAGTAAACCGGATACCTATATCAAATTTGATATTGATTTAAAGAAGAGGCCATAAACATACTAATTACCGTTTTCTATGAGACTGTAGACAATCTTGATACATTTCCTTTGTCGATTATGAAAAAAATCTCCCATATACATGACTGGTTTTCTTAGTTTTTCATTGAAAATTACAGTTTAAAATACAGTTTTTCATCTTGTTTACCTACAAATTATGCCCCGAAACACCTTATTTACCAAGCTTAAGTTGTAAAGCATCAAAAAAGGAATTTATTTCTCAAGTTTGATAAATATGTAGGGACCTTAATTTACTAGATCTTGACCTTAAGACAGCGGAACATTAACTGGTAGGATTGGAAATATGCAGCTTTTATTGATCGATTTGTCTGTAACAGATGGAAATGGCGTAATCTGCATATTTCCAAACTTGTCAGTTAATGTTCCGCGACTTATGAGGCCGTACTGTAGTCACCTTTTTAATTATGGATTTTTTTTCTCTCAATTGACTCTGACCCAAACAAATGTCCCATGGAGTTTTACTTAAATGAGGAATCTATTGACAAGTTATTAAAACAAGGATATCAATAATACTGTTTAACTTCGTCCTTTGTAGGTTCTATGGCCAATACAAAATCTTGTTTGCAAATTTAACTTTCAAGATTTACATTTCCAATAAATATCCAGCATGATTTCTTTACAAAATAAAATGCAGTTGATTTTTTCATGACTTTCATTACATATTTACCACGAATAATCATGAATGTCTACATTGTTAAGTCATAATACTGTACTTGACATTAAAAAAAAATTAGTACACTCTGTGAAAATGTATGGCAAGTCATCAGAAAAATAATGTAAATATAAAAAATGAATTTAATTTTTGAAGATCCATTAGGTGTATGAACTATTCTTCACGCCGGCATATTTATCATGAAGCGCTGACGCGCTTCATCAAATATGCTGGCGTGAAATGTCGTAGTACATAATCACATGAATCTTCAAATATTAAATTCATTTCTTAAATATTATTACAACAAGCAAATAAGGATTGTTACCGATGGATATATCAAAATCTATTTCAAATAACTAAACCACATACAGCAAAACTCGTTTAGTACGAACACGGATATTGCGAATTTACCGATATAGCGAAGTCATCTTGGATCCCCAGATATATAAATTTAGTGACTTTCTTATAAGGTTATAACGAATTACGGATATAGCGAAGTAATTTTACAGGACCCAGTGACTTCGTTATAACCGAGTTTTACTGTAGACATATCTAAACAAAAACATGATTATCGGCCTTATTTAATATCTATACCATTAGGATGAAATCAACAAAAGTAAAAAATTAAGAGTTCTTGGGCTTGAGATAAAAGATACCACAGAGTCTGGCACATCTGTTTCATACTTGAATATTTTATTTGAAAAAGACGTTAATGGTAATCTAACAACCAAGCTCTATGATAAACCTGATGACTTTTACTTTTTAATCGTTAACTTTCCTTACTTATGCAGCAATATACCTTCATCACCTGCATAAGGAATGTATATATCTCATTTGATTGATACGCAAGAGCAACCTCTACGTATGAAAAATTTCTAAAACGAGATTAATTATTGAAAAGCAAGTTGATGAAACAAGAATATCAGCCGTCTCGTTTAAAGTCTTCATTTGGTAAGTTCTATGGTCGATAACTAAACTTTGTCAGCAAATACAATTTATCATTGAATCAAATGGTGACATACGTTTGTCTTTAAATTGTTAGTCCATTATTTATACACTGAATTGACGACAATTTTTTCCGTTATTTCCCGATCATGACAACGAGCACATGGAGACCGGTCCTAAGGATGAGAGCGTGTAACCCGAGGTCCCGTGTCGCAGTAAGTGTTCTCACAAAAGAGATCCCTCCATGTTCAATGGCCCCGAGTGCCAAGTATAGGACAAAGGGGGGGGGGGGGGTTAGAGAAGGCCGTTTATCGGCCCACTTATTTTCAAAAATAATTTCAATTTATTTTTTCAAATTAAGTTTAGAATTTAAGATGAATATCTTAATTTTTGTTGTTAATATTTCAAAAGTTAATATGAAATAAATTCACACCGTTATTGACACAAACTTAGATGTACCCATAAATGCTTTAATAGAGAGGTTGAGATCTCAAACGTGTAGGCCTACGTGTACGTGTGTCTATACTTTGACGTACATGTACACGTTTTTGTAATTTGTCTGTTGAGATTTTAATGACGTGTAACAGCACGTGTACACCGCGATTGCTGTCTTTGTGTTTACTATTTAAAAGGTTTGTCGCGTCATTTTTTTTTTGAGTTAGTTAGCAAAACATGATGAAAATGATATGCTTGTAAAACTAAACATCCTAAATAATAGTTTACAACTACATGTATCACTTCATAACTACAAGTTTTCAATTACGTGTAGATGTCATTTTACAAGTTTTAAGAACGTGTAGCAATCTTTACGTCACTAAAATTGATGACGTTATACACACGGAATTTAGGTTATTCCCCTACTAGACGTACCCGAACACTTACACGTTTGAAATCTCAACCTCTCTAATATCAGGTCATGGGAAAATATAAGAGGGTGGTATTTATGAATCGATGTTTAGAATATGAAGTGCATGAGGGACACTCACCTTGATTTGCCCAGTTGTTAGATATACCCTGCACACTTATATCTTACAATATGATGAGTGTCGCATGTGCACTTCATATCCAAAAATTGAAAATTGTCTAAAAACTGCATACCTAAAATTAGAACCTTCTGGTTACTTGATCATACACCAGGTAAAAATACTAACCCCAAAGTAGCATATTTTTTTGTTAAATCAAAGATAATTCTCGAAAATATTAACAAGAGAATATATTTTTGGATACTGTCTTTATCTCCATACTTATTTCGTCGTCAGCATATAACGTTCTAACGTCAAATTTTAGTTCAACTACACGGACTAGGGGGAGTTTTCTTAATACCGTCAGCATTAGCGTTCCCAGCTAAAAAAAATCTAAGCAGATATTCTTTATATCGTCTACTCTCCTGATCCAGTGATTCCTTGTCACCTTTCGGGTTTCAGATGCTGTATTTTAAACTTATATGTTTCGTGGTCAATGTTTTTAAAGTAAGTTAAAGTTTATTTAGCAATGCTGCTATAGTACTTGAGGACCAGACATGCTTCATGATACATCTTCGGATGCACGGTACAAGACTTGTTTCAGATGCAGGGTCTGACTTACATTTCATGGATGAATGCTTAGAGTAAAAGGTTGACCAAACATGCAGTAAAGATACATTTAGTGTTGCACATTACCAGAAATGGTCCAAATACCGGACCTTACTTATATTTTCTGATTGATTGAACTTAAGAAGTGCATTCTTTAACGTTCTGTATCAAACATATACATGTTTCAACAAATTTATAATATAAGCCTTTTTATCGAATAGAAACCCTTGATCCAAACTGCTAGAGAAGGTTTGTTATGTTTTTCCATGTGGTTGATATTTATGTAGGGAACGTGAATTTTTTAAGACTAAATTTTGATTGATAGGTTTCTGCAGGATTTGGGATTTAACACATATCTTTGGCATTTATAAATGTTTTTGAACTGCGATCTGGACTAGCATTTAATCAATGAAGTCCAATAAATGTAACTAGAATTGGTGAAGCAAGAGCAGTGGGATGCAAGAATTTTTAAGATCATGGTCCTTGCCTAGTTTCTGTTGTTGAGAACATAATGCGTATCTTTAAGTTGTTAACTATACTTCTAACTTTCAGAATGAAATGGAGACACTCAATCTATTTATGTGTTTTTTTTATCATTTGGCTCTTTATTTGAGTGAGCTTTGCATTACCAATTATAGTTCTCTACCTCCAAGCATAACCTAGTTTTAATTTAAAAAAAAAAAAAACATACCATGTAAATTCCATACCTCCGCAAAAAATCATTGAAACAATATTATCTATTAATTATCAAGATTAGCTCATTAACCAAACCTTAGCACATAACCCGGTATTTACAAGCATTTCGAAAAAGAATTTGGACCCCCCCCCCCCCCATTCACAAAAACATAATACCGTCAATAATACATTTCAGACAAAAAAAAAATAAGCTTATTAAGTTAAAATCTGCAAGCAAGCGTTTATAGGGAAAAGTACGAAACCAAATGGGACAAACTGAAGGACAGAGGGACGGACACGTCCGTGTATACGAGAGTGCATTTATTGGGTATTTTGCCTGCCAAGATTGTACTTATTGGGTACTTTTTGCTTATTGGGTATACCCAATAAGAAGTGTCGCTGAATATGCTTAAAACACCCTAATTGGGTATTTGAAGGTTAGTAACCAACAAAACTTTGACACGACGATTTGTCCAAAAAAGTGTCTAAAAAAGTTGCTTTTACGGACGCACCGTGTTTTTTTGTTTCAGTTTTACATTCCGAACTCTAAATTCTCGAGAGTTCCGAAAATCAACTTCCGTTGATCCTGATCATAACAACGTTTGTTTTCATGGAAAAAATATGGCGACTAAGAAACACTTAATGTCAACAAGATTTTCTGATTGAAAAGAGAAAAGGTAAGTTTATTCGATTAATATTTATCGCTGGCTTCTTGTTTAAGGAAACTAGATTTTAATGTAATTTTGAAAACAATTGTGCACAAAATTAAAATAGATATATCGGAACAATTAATCCTAAGTTGCACTTGTTTGTATTTTGAATTTTCTCTGTCTCTTTAACTCTGGAGGGCGAGAAGTATTTAGTAAATGATCGTATATTGTTAGATAATCTTTAATAAATCGAAAGTGTTTATTATTTAATTTTTATATCATAACCAACTAAGTATGTTCTGACAATGTATATTGGAAAGGGAAATGAAAATTTTAACAATCGTGTGTTCATAAATCAGCTGTAAATTATCGGTTCATGTAGACAGTATTACAATCGCAAAGTGAGCTGAGATGGTGATAAATGGGATAATTGACAACAACTAAATAATTGTATGTGAGTTTATCTCATCTGATATGCAACTTAAGAGATTCATTGTATTATTGAAAAACTGTCAGTCAAAACAGTGCTTCTTTCTGTCTTTGATTTTGAGTGTCTGCTTTATTTTGATTTTTTTTAAATTATTGTTTTTCTCATATGTTTTAATCAATTTAAAACAATACTGAAATTGATATAGGGCTACTATAACTATTTCAAATGATGGGTGTTTAATTAGCATCGCGCTACACCCGGGGCTTCCAATTTTGAGGATTGGAGTAAGTGGTCTTCTGCACTGAGGAATCCCCTTGGGCTATTAGGAATTTTAAAATACACATGTAATTCATGAAAAGCACCACCGGTATTTTCACTCTTTTTTGCTATTAAATTCCCTAATATGGAAATATTCCAGACAGCATGCTCATATTATTCATAAATCTCTACAACTGCATCCATTATGCATTACTACAAGACTGATTTACTTAAAAACAATCTTTTATTTTATAATTTGAATTCCCCCCTTTCCTTTGTTTAATATAGCAATATTTGCATGTACATGTATACCTCACAGATATCTCATTATTAAATTATATACATTCACTCAATCAGCTCAATGATAAGTGTCATGTAATTATGTTGTGCTTTTTTTTAAAGCCATATATGGCGTAACTGATCAAAAAATATATTTTTGAAAAATACATAATTAAGTTAAGAAATATAGTTAATACATTTAAATTAAAGCTTTTCATACATTTCGGAGCACGGAGAACACCTCGTTTTATCTAATAATACGATGTTATCTTCTCTGTAATGTGTTATTTAAATCTTTTGTATTTTCTTCCAAGTCGGAGAAAATTCCGAGAATCCAAATTAAATTTAGTTATCTTTATGATGCAATTGACTTAGATTTTGTAATTTACGGAAAAATTCTATCTTAATCATGTTTATATAAAGTAATGATACAAATAATAAGTTCTTATAATTTTAGTCTAATAATTTTCATTGTACATACACCATATATGGCTTTAAATGATACAAGATGAAAACAAAATGATTTTGCTTCGTTTTAATTAGACGAACTAGTGAATGGTCAGAAAAGGAATATTTAGAATCTTTTTTTCATTTTTTTAAATCATTAATTTATATATGATTAAATTTTACTAGCGAAAATTAAATTAAACTTTAATTTTAAAAAGAATCATCTGTAGTTAATACCCTGACTTTTTTGCACGATGAACTTTTTTTCAATGTTACTTTTTAATTTTTGCCTCTATATTTGGGCTTGTCACTTTTTACTCGGGGATAGTACCGGTTACTTATATTGCCACATAGCTGTGGATTAGTACTTGATTTCCTTTATTGAACAGCGATGACTATGATTTTAATAGCACAAAAAGCTAATGGGTTTACGCATGTGAATTTATATGATTAATACTTACTTGTGATTTTAGGATAACTGGAGATAATGATACCTTTTTTTTCCATTGATATTACATAAATATAATCCTAAGTATTATGTTACATGTACAATAAATTGGTTTAGAATTTTTTTTATAAAAGTAATCAATAATTGCAATGGAAATTAAAACCATAATTATGTTCATTGAGGATTTTCAATATGTAACAGGTCAAACAGGAACTTCAATTGTGAACATTGCAGAGAACACACTCATCAGAAGATGACCCTCAGAAATAGGAGAATTGTAAGTAATTAGTAAAATGAACAAGAATACTTCATGCCAACCATAAGATTTTTAGAGACATTTTCGCTTCTTAATTAGAAGAGATAAAGAGAAAAACTTGTACATACTACATAACTACTAGGCAACCATCCTTTAACTGCAGGAAAGCTTTTGGTATGTGCAATACAGCTACATAAAACCTCTTTAGTATTCATATTAAGTTTGAGAAAGTACCTTAGTATTTTTTCTAGTGTTTGCCAACATTTTCATGCACACTGTTTGCTTGTTTGTACTATCATTTTATTTTAAATTCTTCAGATGCCCTTTACCTTTGCCAGTTTTGAATCATTTGTTTTAAGGGCATCTGAGGGTTGGTTCCAGAACTTAATTAATTGTAAAGTAAATACTGGGGTACAATACGGTCATAGGTTATGTTAATACATGTATAACATTTTGTTCTGATAGAGGTGGCATACAGGAAAAGAAACAATACTAGATATCACTTCAAAGGAATAAAACAGCTTCATCTTGTAGGTGTATTTTATTTAAGGATCACTACTTCATGTCTGATGTGCTGAAAGTTATTCATAATCTGTTTGACTGTAATTTTTCATATTTTCAACTTCTATCCAGCTTAGTCAATTTTGATTAAATTTTGTGCAAAGCATACCCCAGGAAGGGGGAATGGATTGTCAAGTGTGTCTCTGTCCCTGTCAATATAATTTCAAAGCAGTTAGTAAGGTTTGCGTCAATTTTAAATCCTCTTTAGCAGAACCATTGTGCTAAAAACAATACTAATGAGAAAGCTTTATTGTTAAGTGTAGAGATGTTTTTGAAGATTATGTACCCCTAATGTACTGATAGTGTTACATTAGAAGTCTAAAATTTGCAAGGAATAGGTGTAAAATCTTTTTAAAATCTCCTTCTTAACAATCAGAAACTAACATACTGTCTAATTAATATGCAACATCGTTTTTTGTGTTGAATGATGATTCCATTTTGATAAAATTATGGCGGATGGGGGGGTAGGATGAAGATGCAGTTAGACATAGAAGAAAAAAAGAGTTGACAGAATTTAGTTTTTCTTCCATTTTATTTATAAATACATATTTCTGAATACGAAATATACTTCTCCTTCTTGGTTGGGTTTGCCACCGAAATATACTTCTCCTTCTTGGTTGGGTTTGATCAACATAAAGGGTGATCTTGCTGTAAGAAAAACATGTTTTACTAGTATACGGCAAAGATGCCAAAGAAATGACTTTATCTAATTGCAGAATGAATAAAATGGACAGAGGCAGAACAGAAGGAGATGCATGAAATGGGGAATATTTCAAAGATTGCCTGAGCATAACCACTGCTACTGGATAAACATATGGCAATATAAAAGAGCAGGGTCAATGGACATGATGGAGGTATCATACAGTATAGGCCATGAGAGACCCTGAAGAAGAAAGTATTGAACAGAAACAAAAATAAAACCATTTTGAATTTATTGAAATATAGGATCAAAGTCTTACATGTAAAATTTGGGCATGTAATGACTTTTCTCTAGCTCCAAGACATAACAGTGATTATTTGATTTCATATCTTTATTCATATCTATATTATTATTTATCCCGATTTGTCGAAAAGATTTGGACATAGTGCATCAATTATTTTAAAGTTTTGATACAACGATTTCATTCATTGTACTTGTAACTGAGTTTTCTGGTGCGACACTGTTTTATAGGCTTCAAAACTAAGTTTGTGACTTCCAAACCAGATTAATGAGATCATGTAATATCTTTTAACATCGGTGACTATTTAATTCATTCTTTTACATCTCAGAAGTATTTTTATTATTACAGGGAAAATATGCATTGTACATGTATCGGTAATAAACAGGATTATAGAAATTTTCCATATAATACAACACAATCTTAGCAACTGAAGGCAAATATTCTATCAAGGGTGTGATCTATTTATCAATATCGTTTTCAGCATCTTGCTCTACCTGTAATGACTTGGTCCAAGTTCCAATATTTAAATATAAATTTTGCAAACATGGTTATAAAATTCTTTAAAATCAAATAGTTTAGGCACAAAATGCTTATATATTTCCTATCATTTGTAAAGTGTACACTGAATGAGATGTGGAATGTTAGAATTAAAGTATTAAATATGTTTTGGACTTATGTATGCTTATGCAGATAAATTTGAATTCAACTAGGGAAAGTAAATGTCCTACTTACCGGGTTTGCAATCTAATGCAAGAGTATAAATATCCAAGACAAATTTGACAATTTTAATGAAGGGTATAAGTAACCCAAGAAGAATTGGACAGTGAACATCACCTGTTGGGTTTTATTCTAATGTTGGGATGTAATATCCAAGAAGAGTTGAACCAATGTACGATACCTATTGGGTTTTCTTTCTTATTAAAAAAAATTGAGTAACCCAAGAAGAATGTCCAATACCTTTTAGTTTATATACTATTGAAGGGATGAAGATATCCAAGAGGAATTGGACAGGTGTCCATTACATGTTGGGTAGTATTCTGATGAGGGGATTCTCAAGAAACCCAAGAATTAGACAAGTGTCCATTACCTGTTGGGGGAGATGTAGATATCCAAGAGGAGTGACAGGTGTCCATTACCTGTTGGGTGGTATTCTGATGAAACAATTCAAGTAACCCAAGAAGAATTGGACAAGTGTCCATTTCCTGATGGGTGGGATGTAGATATCCAAGAGGAGTTGGACAGGTGTCCATTACCTATTGGGTTGTATTTTGATGATGCAATTCAAGAAACCCAAGAATTAGACAAGTGTCCATTGCCTGTTGGGTTGGATGTAGATATCCAAGAGGAGTTGGACAGATGTCCATTACCTGTTGGGTGGTATTCTAATGAAACAATTCAAGAAACCCAAGAAGAATTGGACAAGTGTCCATTACCTGTTGGGTGGGATGTAGATATCCAAGAGGAGTTGGACAGGTGTCCATTACCTGTTGGGTTGTATTTTGATGATGCAATTCAAGAAACCCAAGAATTGAACAAGTGTCCATGGCCTGTTGTGTGGGATGTAGATATCCAAGAGGAGTTGGACTGATGTCCATTACCTCATGGGTGGTATTCCAATGAAACAATTCAAGAAACCCAAGAAGAATTGGACAAGTGTCCATTACCTGTTGTGTGGGATGTAGATATCCAAGAGGAGTTGGACAGGTGTCCATTACCTGTTGGGTTGTATTTTGATGAGGAGATTCAAGAAACCCAAATAGAATTGGACAATGTACACATGTTCAATTGTTCTTGGGTAGTTTAATCCCTTCGTCAAAATACAACCCAACAGGTATTGGCCACCTGTCCATGCCTGTTGGATACCTTCATTCTGTCCAACATGTATGGCCAATTGCTTATTATTAATTGGTCATAGCTCAAAAAGGTTTCTCCTTAAATACTTAATTTTGTTATTCAAGAAAGGGTGAACAGAGTCTGAGATGTGTTGAGTTGTCTTTTCACAATTCAGTTTTTTTGCACTTAGGTATTCATATATTTTAATATTACATATTTTGAAATATTCAGGTGTATATCCTTATTGCTAAGAACAAATTAGTTAGGTGTTACAATAAAAGAGCTATATCACAGAAATTGACAAAAATATGGGTTCAAAACCAAAGGTTTTCAATCTTGTCTTAATTTACCAGCAAATATTAAATATATAATAAATTTGAAATGAATAAAAAACAATAAGAAAAAACTCAATAAAATACGGACACGAGGATTAATATCCAATAAGATTTGAACAGTAACTACCCAAATAACGCTCTCTCGTGTGTACACATTTTTGTATCCAATAAGCAGTATCCAATAGGACTTGGACTTGATGTACCCAATATAGAACCAAATGTGTGTCGCTAGACATATGCACAGACGATAAGGAAACTATACTTGTAGTCCCCTCTGGTTTCACCGGTAGGGGACTAATAATTGCTATCTTGATAAAATATATTGACTGTGTTTAATATTATTGATATATTAAAATACAATGAACATTGCAATGTGATTCTTTTGAAGATACTTTTTAAATTATATAGATATATACTTGCATTTCTTTAATCGTACCGAAATCCATTTTTTTTTTCAAGGCATGGTTTAAAATTAAATTTATTAATATTACTGTATAAATCACAATAAATTTTGCGCTATAACTTTAGTTGATGAAAATGTATTGCAAACAGTTCTAAACACCTTAAATTAGAGTCACAGTTTATCTATCTCTTGTCTATTTATTTTTACATTTGCTTCCCTACGTACGGAAACAAATGTAATAAATTGATTATTATGTTCAAATATAAACTCTCAGTAACTTCCTCTTGTAAAAGTTTCTGCCTATACTGTATATATATGTTTTATAAGTAAAATTCATTCTTTTTTAATCAAAAGTTAATCAATTAAAACTCTAGAAAAATTTTGCATCTTAATAAACATTCACATAAATAAATGTTATTAATTTTCTGTAAAAATAAATATTGAAATTGGTTATTTGATGTCTTTATTTACATTATCACATTTCATTTATGATTCGACGTTGAAAAAAAAACTCAGGTATCCCGTTTTAAAATGCCTACTCCTAAAATGAAGGGAAGGGGGTATACTTAAACTTTTAATCATCATGTAACCAGAAAATGTGCGTATAAATTATTTTCATATCTTTAGAAAGCCAAGACATTTCCCTACAACATATCACAATTTCATAACATTTCTCGAGAGGCCGTAAAACAGCCTTATCGAAACTCCCCCTATCGCAGCTCTCCACCGGCAAGTGGTGATGTTTCCATAGGAGTGGAACATTCTCGAGATGGACTTTAAGCAATATACAATCAAAAATCTAAATCAATTCTACCAGGCTGATGATTTACATCTTTAATAAAGGATGCTTAATGTTGAATTAAGATTACCTTCAATTCATGAGTGAACAACATGCTCCTTCTTGAACTATATAGTCACACAACATGGAAGAAAAATTCATATTTTAAAGTACAGGGCTAGATATATGCCAAATTTCATTTTAATATGTGAAGGAAATGGAGATAACGAACAGCACTCAATCTCAAAGTCCACAAAACAATACTTGATAAGAGTAGAGCAAATACGGACCTCCGAAATATCAGAGGTAGGATCAGAAGCCATGGAGGAGTAAGAATTCTCTGCTGACTGGTCACATACGCCGTGTGCTCCTTGTCATGATCAGGAAATAACGTAAAAAGAAAAACGTCAGTCAGCATTTGACTCAATGATAAATTGTATTTGCTGACAAGATCATTGTATCGACCATAGAACTTACAAAATGATGACTTTAAACGAGACAGCTGGTATTCTTGTTTCATCAACTTGCTTGTCAATAATTTACCTCGTTTTAAGATTGTTCATACATAGAGCAAGCTCTTGTGTATCAAATCAACTGAGACATATACACTCCGTATGCAGGTTATGAAAGTATATTTCTGCATAAGTAAGAAAGCAGTTGACAATAGAAAAGTTAAAGTCCTCACGTTTATCATATAGCTTGGTTGTTAGATTACCATTAACGTCTTTGTCAAGTAAAATATCCAAATATGAAACATATGTGTCAGACTCTGTGGTATCATTTATCTCAAGCTCACAAGTATATATCGTAACGACGCAGGAATGAAAATTATCTTAATGATTGTTAATTGACAATACGTCGTCGATATATGTAAATGTCGAGTTGAAGACCACAACAAGTCTTTTCTTCTTTTCACGCATAAAATTTTCCACAAATTCTTCTTCATATGAATATAAAAATAGGTCCGCTAATAACGGAGTGCAATTGGTACCCATGGGCATTCAAATTGATTTTTGGAATTCCTGGTCTCCAAAAACCACATAGATATTGTCAATCAGAAACTCTCTTTGATATCAACTTCAGAGTATTTGTGTGTGTAATCAGAATGTGTTTTAACAAAATAATTTTTCAAATGACCAATGACAAGGTAAATAAATTTACGAGTTCGTTTTTATTAAAAAAGCAGCTGTAAATGAGATCAAAAAGCACGAAGAGGGGAATATTTGTATATAAAGTTGAAAAGTCGTAAGCTTTTAAGCTGTTGATTTTGGTAAAATCTTGTGATTTCAACCTCTGCGTTGGAAATGTATGTAAACTGCAAATAATTGGAATTTTTGAAAGTTCAAGGGGCATATTTTTGTCCTAAATGGCTCAGGCGAACCTTAAAGAAAGCTTATATTTATGTGAAATTTCTATGCAAAATTTCATTTCAAATTGACCGGTCACGGTAGCCTAGTGGTAGAGCTTTCGCTTCGTGATCGGGAGGCCCGGGTTCGATTTTCGTTCGCGGCGCCGCGTCATACCAAAGACGTAAACAAAGGTAGTGACTGTTCGTTCGCCAAGCGCTCGGCACTAGAAGTGAAAGTCATGGGTCTTTCGGGTATGACCTTAAAAACGTAGGTCGCGTGTGACGGCAGGCGCTGGCACGATAAAGAAGCCTCACTGCTCAATCGCCCTGAGTGCCGAGTATAGGTCTAAATTTGAAGCCCTTCACCAGCATACGGTGACATCTCCATATAAGTGGTATATTCTCAAGAGGGACGTCAAACAATATACAATAAAGCAATCAATCATTTCAAATTGTGCAGCATCCGTGAAGAAAATCAAGGGGAACTGATGGAGGACAGAAAGACAGATCGATCGACCAACAATTTACCAATTCAATTTTATCTTTAGTGTCGTTGCTACTTTTATTTTCAAAATGTATTTATAGTTTCATTAGTCTTGACTTCTAATTTTTCAGATTTTCTTTCGAAGAGCGCATGATGTCGGAATCGAAATATGATTCTGTCAAAAAGAAAGAACTCTCTGATCAAGAATTACATGATATCAATTGCAGTAGTGACTTCACGTATCTTCTGAAATGGATATGTCTTGAATATCAGTCTAATGCTTAATCATTACAGATAAAATTAATTTAGAGGTCACATGGATATGTAGGGGAAACTATGATGAAAACTTAATAAAATTGAATTTATATCGATCAGTTTTGAGCATTATGTTCAATTTAACACTGCAGTCACTTATTCTTCCTATCTATTTCACCTTTGAATACCAAATAATCCAAAATAGCCCGGAGTCATTTATCAAACTCAAATTTACGTTAAAGTTTCAATCATTCATAACATTTTTGTTGTTTGTATATAACACACACAAGTGTCTTCAATTTGTTGTTTATCTATACGAACCCATTGCAGGCATTTATTTTTGTATGCCCATGCAAGATAAAATTCTATACACGTCGGGAAAATTGTAGAGTAGATTACGTTTCCTGATTTCGTGCTCATTAATTTCTTGTTTTGAATTTCCATTCCTGATTCAAGTTGGGTTTCTATCTCCTAATTAATTATATTTTCAACATCTGGGGATCTCCACATCCCTTAATTGATGGCATTTCCTCCAGTGTATTGCTAAAATAAATAAGAAATTATTTTTCTTCATAAAAACAAAAAGGATAAACACCGGTCCTTTTTTTTTCGTGATCACAATACATCACAAGAGTATTATCACGTTGCCTGTACAAATGTGATACATTTAACTATTTACGTTTTCTAGTGTTTCTCTAAAATATTTAAATAATTTTCATATGTTCCAAATAATATTAATTGTGTGCATTATACACTTGAAATAATTATGAATTTTGTTACGCAACAGGGATACTTGTGACTATGGCCTTCTTCAGGAAAGTGTATTGGGGTTATATACAACAATGCAAGAATTCGCCAGCCACCCAATATTTAAATCACATGTACAAAACGAAGCGTTCAAAATGATTGACATTGACAATCAATTGAAGACAAGAAACAGAGATTTGACGGAAGACCATGCAATAATTTTTGCTGGTAATATCTTACTGGTAGTTATTGATCAACATGGAATAACGTTTTTGTTTTTCATTGTTTACATTCATAATTAAATATATAAATATGATTTATTTTTTTCCTCCTTGTAATACAAAGGTGAAACCGGTGCTGGGAAATCAACTGTCATTAACTTGTTGATTAATGAAGAGGAGGATGTTCTACCCGTAGACATCACAGCAACAACTTCAAGGCTGTGTAAAATTCTGAATTGTGATCCAATGGTAATATTAACAAAGAATCATGAAAACAAAACAATAGAGGAGAGAAAGTTTCAATCTCATGAGAAATCAAATATGATATCCAGTCTGAGAGACCTTGTTAGAACAGATGATCCCAAAGTGAGATCCATAAACATTTGTCATCCTGTTCCAATTCAACAGGTATTTTATCTACACAACGGAATTAATTCGTTGTACAATATATCGCAACTCAAACTAGGCTGAAACTAGAAGCCAATAACAGCATCGACTAATCCGGTAGAAGTTACCCTAGTATATAGAAACCTCTAAAGATAAAAGGTCTCTAAATGATTTAATAATACAAATATTATCTAGTGTTCCAGTTGAAAGGCTTAACCCCCTTCCCCGCAGTAACGCATTTTAACGCATATACCATTTCCTATTTCTAACGCAAAATCACGCATTTACCGTTTCCCCGCAATCACGCATTTTCACGCACTATAAAAAGTTTTATCTTCAATTTATTGCCAAATTCCAACTATTTTATACTCGCTTAAATCTCAAAAAATATGAAAAATTATTTTCTAATTAAAATATTACGGCATAATATTATTTACGTTGAACTTAAGAGAAACTTGTACCCCGCTGTAAAGTGCTTGCGGAGAAATGGTCACGTAATATATCTATGACGCGAGGATTCGGTGTTTGTTGCAAAACAATGCAATAAGTTGTAAAGAGTTAATGCCATAAATTATTGCAATAATAGTTGACATTCTCAAAAGCTAATCCTAAATTGCCGCTTAAAGATATAATTATATCATTAAGCTTCACAAATGCAGAGTGACACCGACGCTAAATGAAACAAGCAATACATAATTGATGGTAAATGATATACAATAGTATACTATTAGACGTTGCAGTCACACCTTTTAATGATACAAAAATTCACACACGCAGGCATGTTTAGGAAGCATATAAATATTTTTTTTCGGGAAAGAGCTAAAGCCATGAATCATCAATATGTGCCTTTAATTTTAGACAAAAGAATGACTGCACTTAAGCTATGAGGGTTGGATCCCAATGATTTGCGCAAAATAAAATTCCAAAATTCATTAAATTTATGTTTTATAGGTATTAAACAATATATTAAGAGCAGGTTTTGGTTTATTATATTATATGAAAGTATTAAATAATGCCGAGCGACACTAGCTTTTGAAACAAGGGTCTAACAGTTTTGTCTCATTTCTATTGTTATTCATATGCATACCAGTTTTCAACGACATTGTTTACATCGAGCCGCAACTTGACCATTTTTCTCATTTGCACAGAATGTGTATTTTAACTAAAATTTATACATATCCGAAGGACAATGTTGGTCAAGTTGCGGCTCATATCTAATTTTTAAAAAGAATGTACCCAAACTTCGCTCGAGATAGCTACTAAATTAGCAGGTTACGAGTTTCAGCCCATGTGACCCCTTTGATATTATAATCACTTTTCTCACGTGACATTCAAGTGTTCGACACGCTTTCATTGTGTCAGTCGTTGGAAAATTCTTTTCATATCTACATGTACTTCCATCTTCAAAATATTGAAGATCCTTGCGTACATTTTATTAGCGTTTTAAAGTTTACGTTGATTTCTTTCACTATAGTGTTTTGTTCGGGGTATTTTAAAGGAAAAGGGTATTATTTTGCTGATTACATGCTGTACATATAGCAGTGGCGGATCCAGAAATTTGAAAACGGGAGCCCGACCAGTTTTAGGTCAGGGTAGAAGCCCACAGTCATCATTAAAAAAAAAACTATTTTTTTATTTTATTTTTACGTTACTAATAAGTCCACAATTATTATTCAATACGATTAAGATAAAGTGAAAATGTCATTTTTTTTAAATACACTGTAGGTACGAACACTTAATAATTTTAAGATTTAGTTAATTCGCTGCTTGACAGCAAATAATACATGAGCAGTGAAATTTTAAGCATTCCAATTTTATAAGAACTTTAGATAGAGAAAATTATGCAGTGCTTGATAATGTAGAAGCCGCAATTCATTTTTTTAATGCATTGTCCTTTGTACTCTGAATACCGATCAAAACTTTTTTTGAAAATTAACTCTGCCAATAAATGGCTAGGTCATATATGGATTTACTGTATGTACTTATTTCAGATTATCCTATAGACAGGTTGCAAATTATTTTTCATTTATGCGAAGACAGCCCATTATGTTCAGAAAAATAAAATGTATTTCAGTGTCATTTTCATCTACCAATAATTCTCAAAACAGACACTACCAACCTAAGCGTACAAAATGCATACATATATTTATCACAATTGTGTTTTTATGAACTATTTGTTTTTTTCACTTAATATTCCGCTCTTTACTTACTTACTCTACTTACTTACGTGGATACAAATTAATGAAATTATATGCATGGCTATAAATCATTTATTTTTTGTACAAAATGAACACAAAACCCTCTTCTCGGTCTTTTTTTTAATATATATAATATAAATCAAATACGGAAAACCATGCGCTTATGATCCATTTCCATGCGATTTAAATGTCTCCGCCCCTTTGCTGCGACCTTAAAATCTAAAGCGGTCCAGTTCAATTTTCCGGAATTTATGGGTTAAACATGTTCTTTTCAATAGCGTTGTATGTAATTATTGAAATATGTATGACGAAAAATTATAAAAAATAAATGTCAAAAGCATATGCTTGCACATTAATCATAGATTAATTCAGCGATTTATTGTAATGTTAAGCTTCAAATGGGTATGCCGAAAAGGTTCCAAATAACGTCCTTAAGTGCAGTCATTCTTTTAGTTTGAAATCACACAGCCTATCATATGAGTTTTGTAGAGAACAATATCATGGTACGCTACATATATTTTATTGACACACCGGGCACCGTCTTTTGTACATGCGCAAGAACAAATATATCAATGAAGTTAAAAACTGAAGTATTCTTTTTTTGTCCTTCAAATATTTGATTACAGTTTTATAATTAATTATTCCGACGTCAAAACAGCAGCTCATTTTGTTTAAAAGCTGTACAGCTGTGATGAAAAAAATATGATTTTATCTATCACTTCTTACATTTAATTATATATATACGACATAAAATGCAAATATACTTCGGATATTCCATCTAGTCAGAAACCAGGAAAGTATTCTATCTCAAACAAAACGTTATGTCAGTGAACTTTATGATGTACAATAAAATAACGTCATGATCCTGCGCACTACGTAATAAGTTTCAGAAAGTGGTGATGCGGATTATGAAAACCACAGTGTGGTTACATGTATCCGAAAAGTTGGATTACAACATCACGGAAATGCATAAAGTCACCAGTAAAATTAGGACCCGTCTTAAATACTCTGTTTCATAATTTTGAATATGTCAGTCTATCATAAATATCGTATTTTATTTATTATAAGTGATACATATACCCATCTCTATTTGACCTTTCAGGGAAAGAGAAATATTATACTTCTCGATACACCAGGAGTTGGTAATAAAAAACAGGATGAAGTTGTTAAAATGATGATGGAATATCTACCCAACTCGGTGGCATTGATTTTCATCATAAATATTGGAAATGCTGGAGGATTTCAAAACGACAGCGTACATTTTTTTTTCTTTTATTTTTATTCATTTTTAAACAATCTGGAATTCCAATGAGTACCATTTGCACTCCGTTAATAGCAGACCTATTTTTGTACTCAGTGAAACCATAATAAAACATTGATTTTTGTTATTGTTGCCTTCATATTTGAAAGTAATATTTCAATTTTAATTAATGTTTCAATTATAGAAAAAACATTTCTATTATTGTAGAAAAAACATTTACTGATCTGCATCTAAATGAACATAAAGTTCGTCATACTTTAGTAAAAATGTCACACCGACGTGCGACAAAACACCATCTCAAAGTAAATATTAAAGTAATTTGATTCTCATTTTCATATTCTACAGAGCAAATGATTTTGAACTACCCATTATATATATTGGATTCCGAAACTTCATAAAAATCTTTAAAAAGAAACATACATTGCGGGTTACAGTAAATGTTCAACCAAGCCTCTTTCGTCACCCCTCACTCAGATATTAACAGCAGAGAAGGAAAAAAAATTTCAAGAGTACTGTGCAACAATATTAACTGAAATGCAAAAGAAACGCAACACCCTACTTTACGGGGAAATAATTATGTAAAGTGAAGAATTTTGTATCTTAAAATTATATATAGCTTTAATTTGGTAAATATCGGTAATTTAACGGTTGACCGATTTTTATACCTTAACCGGAAGTCAAGTTTGAGTCTGCTAAACAGAAATCAAAAATTTTATGTTTAACAGAACATTTGGCAATATTATGGAGATTTAAGGGATATAACTGTTTATTTTAATTAATGCAGCAATATTTCAAAAAAATAAAATCTCTTTTCGTTTCCCGTAACGATGCTTAGGCTTCTTGAAAATGTCTTCAGTTTGCATTTCCATTGCTCGAGCTGGAAAATCTCATAGTAAAGATGAAAGAGTGATGATGATGCAAAAATACACTACATTACGCCTCAACGGGTTTTACGTATTATATTCATAAATGATAGACCTTAGACCGGAAGTCCAAGGGTTACAATTATGCGCTAAGTTAGAGAAAATTCGGCGTAATCATCTGAAAAAACAGACATTTACAAATGGCAAAGAATTATTCCTTTACTCAGATCTCGATATTCTTTATCCTATTATTTTGTAGAAATTAAGCTGCCATTGTTGTTTAGAGCAGTCTTGCACGTTGTAATTGAATGGGTGGGAGGGGTGTTTTAACAGTCATATGTTACTTCCTTACATTAAAAGATAAACATTTAACATTTTTATCAAATTTCTGATGTTCCGAAAAGTGAGTTGTGCCTTACTGTATTTTTTTTTTTGAAAATCATTAGATAAAAAATTCAAACATTTGTAGATTACAGCTTATTGCGTTTCTTTTGCGTGTCAGTATATATTTAAGAAGTGATGTGAATCAGATACGGATACTCAAAACTTCCAAAGAACTTTTGGACACATTAAAATCGCAAGATATTATCAAAATCAAAAGCTTAAAAACTTACGACTTTTCAACTTTATACACAACCATCCCTCAAGATAAATTTAAGTCAATGCTTTTTGATATCAATGACAACTGCTTTTTCAATAAAGTGGAACTCGTAAATTTGCTTTCTTCGTCATTGGTCATTTAAAAAATTATTTGGTTAAAACACATCATGATTGCACATGATACAATTACTCTGAAATTGACATTAAAGAGATGATTGGGTTTTTGATTGACAATATCTATATGTTTTGGAGACCAGGTATTCCAACAGTCTATTGGAATTCCCATGGGTACCAATTGCGGTCCGTTGTTAGTAGACTTATTTTTATATTCAAATGAAGCAGAAATTGTGCAAAATCTTGTGCGTGAAAAGAAGAAAACACTTGCGTTGGCCTTCAACTCGACATTTAGATATATCGACGACGTAATGTCAATTAACAATTGGTAATTCCCGTTACTACGTCGATACGATATATCTTAGTGAACTTGAGACAAAAGATACCACAGAATCTGACACATCTGTTTCATACTTTGGATATTTTACTTGAAAAAGACGTTACGGTAATCTTAAAACCATACTTGAAAAAAAAGTTAATGGTACTTTACAACCAAGTTATATGATAAACGTGATGAATTTAACTTTTCTATCGTCAACTTCCCTAACTTATGCAGCAATATGCCTGCATCACCTGCATACGGAGAATATATATCTCAGTTGATTCGATACGCAAGATCATGCTCTACGTATGAACAATTTTTAAAGTGAGGTAATTAATTGACAAGCAAGTTAATGAAACAAGAATTTCAGCAGTATCGTTTAAAGTCATCATTTTCGTAAGTTCTTTGGTCGATACAATGACCTTGTCAACAATACAATTTATCATTGAGTCAAATGCTGACTGACATTTTTCATGCTAATTGTTAACCCATTATTTATACAATGAATTGACGTCGGATTTTACCGTTATTTCCCGATAATGGCAAGTAGCCCATGGCAGATGTGAACGGTCAGCAGGGAATGCTCATTACTCCACGGCACTTGACTTCACCTCTGATGTTTCGGAGGCTTGTGTTTGATATGTTCCTATTTTATTTTGTTTTATGGAAGTTCAGATTGAATACTTTCCGTTATCTCCATATCCTTCTTGCATGGTTTCAAAAACAACAACGTTATCTTGGGGGTATTTTACAGAATGTGTAAATGTAAATGATGTCATTATTAACATTTCCCGTACAAAATGGGCCTTTTTTAATTTTTGTATACTTACATGTGCTGCATATTATAAAGAGAATTAAAATAATATAAACTTATTTTCATTGCATATTATTCTTTTTCAGCTTCGTGGGTTTTTGGCTGAGATGAGGGAATCAATGTTCCAGATGCCCTGTTTTGAACCCCAAAATGCAATTTTTTTACTTAATAAATGGGACACGCTGATCCCCAATAGATGGGAAAATGACCTTTTTGATCAGATGAAAAGAAAAACACATGAGATCTGGAAAGACGTTGATGACAGAAATATTTTTAAATTTGCAGCAGGAAGGGTAAAATATACCATTTATAATTATAAGGAAGTTTCAGTTAAGATCATGTTAGTCAACATTTCAATGATCTTTTTAAAGAGTGTATAACATCTGAATCTCTTTTTATCTGTGTTTAATATGTCTTGTATTTTTGACTTTTCTATTTTCAAATTATTTTAATTGAAAATAAAATACGTTAGAATTTATGGAATATCTTAAAAAGAATTCTTGAAAACAACGGAACAGAAAAGAAAGAAACCTTAACTATGCTTGCACTATTAATGGCTTCATATTTATGTAAAAAAAACAATGTGAAATCTAAATACCAGAATTTCATCAACAGGTTACCCAAAATAAAATGTACAAAGATGAACTGGAAAAGTTCAAATCCGTCTTGAAAGAAATGATGGAAAGAAATGAAAGTAAAAGAGTTAAAGAGCATCTTGAGTAAGTAATTCTAAATCTACAACTAATAACGTGAATTTTCTTAAATATTCAATAATAAAATTCTTGGTCTTCTAAGTCATCCTTTAATTGAGAAAAATGTGTTTAAAGTTAAATGAAAAGATGTACACTAATCAGAATGGTGCAATGGCATTTACTAATTAATGAAAACGCTTGATACATCAATGACAGAGCTCTGGTATTCAGTGATGTTTTTCTCAAAACATCAGGTAATACCCATTACAGGAAACGTTGTATTTCTTGTATGAGCATTTACAAATAATTCTTTTGTCAAACATGAAAATTTCAGATTCATCAGGAAGTTTACAAAGAGATGTAAAATTGCAATTTCTTCAAAACTGGAACATGCACGTGAAAAATTAAAGGAAAATGAAACAACCTGTGATATCGTGTCAAAAGCTCTTGAAGATATGAAAAAAACGAAAGACAAGGTAAACAATGGTAATATTACGCATATATTGACTTATTTTGACCGCAATATGAGTTTTGTTTGACCAAAGAACCAAACTGCTTGCATGAGGCTCGCATTTTGCCGTTGTGATTTGTTATATTTTGCGATTTTGCAGAGTAATTACAGGAGTTTCTGGAGGTCCTTAAAAATTGAACGTTCTTGTAAGAACGATGATATTTTTTCCTGTGCAACTAAAGATTATATACAAGTGTTTCGTATACACTTTTAATACATTTTTGATATAAAGACTTAAAACATTTCATCCACATTATTTTTTTCTGTTCTTAAAACCGTTAACGTCTGTGTATGAATTAATTCAATACAGGGCAAACCACTCAATAACTAACACGTTTACATGTATCAATACCTGCCTGTAGAAAAGTTAATTGGTTTTAAAACATACCTTTATTTTAAAATTCAGATTTTGAAATTATCATATATTATATATCTGTTCAAACAACTACTAATGCTACTTTCTGCCAAGAATGTTTAATTATCACTATTAAATTTAATTTTTGTTTTGTTTTGTAAGAACGTTTGATTATCTATAGAATACAAAAAGGATATTTCTATGAGAAAATAATTATAGAAAAGACATCAATGATTTCAATATTTAAATAAAAATATTTCATTTAATCGTAAGAACGAATTTATATATGGCCTTTTAAAACTTTTATATAATAAATGCTGCATTTAGTTTAGGTTAATCTCGAAAACTTCAAACTAAGAACATTAAATTGTTGATAAGGAAAACGATAGCTTTCAAGGGATAAACATTTTTATCCCCTGCTGAAAATGGAGGATATATTCTTTTCAGTCTGTCTGTTTGTCAGTCCGTCCGTCTATCTGTCTGTCTGCAATAAGCTTTTGCAATAAAATTTTCACAATATCTTTCCAAGGCCTAACGAAGATCTGCCTTAATTTTGAGGTCAAAAGGTCTGAGGTCAAAGGTCATAAATTAAAAAAATATATATGTCAGTATTAACACTTTAGTTTCCGCGTGAAAACTCGAGAAGCCGTGGAGATTTTGCAATGAAATTTTATTCCACAACTTCCAGTTGTCCAAAGAAGCCAGCTTTGGTTTTTGAGGTCAAAAGGGCTACTTGAAAGGTCATTAATTCATCATCATTTCCATCTGCTTTTTTCACACTTTTGTCTGCTTTCAGCGCGATAAGCAGACTCTTCAGAAGCCTTTGAAATTATGAAGATCTATCTCCCGCCTTCTCCCCTTTTACTATTACTTTTCTTAGGTAACATTTATTCCCTCCCCTTTCCGAATTAAAGCTTTGCCTTAGCCCGTGACAAAAATAAATTTGATATAAAACTGTATAATAGCTAAATTTATCAACAATCACTAACTTTAAAATATATGAATAACATGTATAATGTTTCAGTATTGCACGTTGAATTCATTGGTTACCATGACAAACCAAAGTAAAAAAAACGAGTTAACTAAATAACGAGTTTATAAAAGCAAATGCACCGGAAACAGCAGGTGAAATTCATTAATTGTTTAGTCGCCAAATAAGACTCATATGATTTTTTTTTCCTTTTTTTTTTATATTTTTTGTAAAATTTTGAGAATGTGGAACGTGACATAGTGATGTAACCAATGTAAATGATCTATTGTTTGCATTTACATTTGTATCCCTCGTTAAATCAAGTTCGTCGATGTTCAAGGGGAAAGATTCTCGCGGTAAATGTTAGACGCCCACGATTGATTTTGTAGGGGAATTTTTTTTTATCAATTACTAAATGATAATATTTAGCACATGAAATGAAGAATTTATAATGTATGACGTATGGCTTGTACAAAACATTGTTATTGCGTGTTTTATATTAAAAGAATCATCATGCATGTATATACATTTAAAGTATAAGCATTCTAATCTTTATATCCATATTGACATTTTTTTTAAATTTGTTTCAATACAAAATTTAATAATTTTGTAAATCTGGTGAAGAAGGGGGGAAGGTCGACTTTAAAACTGAGCATCCTCCTCTTTTTTTTTTTTTTTTTTTTTTTTTTTTTTTTTGCCTTCAGTAGGAAACACAAAAATTCTCTGAATTAGCTTGTCAGTTTAACCCTCAACTACATCCAAGTGATGAAACCGGAGCAAACTACTAAAGTTTTACTTTGAAACTATACACTTGTCTGTCTCTGTCTATCTGTCTTTCCGATTTTTTTTCCTGTCTGTTAGTCTGTCCCACTTGGTTTTCCGCCATTTTTTTCTAAACGTTTGCAGATATTGAATTGATTTTGATGTGATTGTATCTTGATGAGTTACAGAAGTGACAGGTTTGAATTTTGTTAAATTTAAGAACTTTTCAAATGTAATTTTAATTAATAAAAAGGGACTTAACTTCTTAAATATATATGTATATATATCGAATGAATAGTTTTTTAGAATAATCTTAAATAAATTATTACCTTTTATAAATTTGCGATCTGATTATTTTGAGCCCTAAATCTGTAAACGATCAAACCTTTTTTGTTTTAGTATCATTGTGTATTTTTGTGTGACAACCTTAGCATATATGAAAATGAGAAAATTTTACACGTAGAAATCATATAAAAATAAATAATATGTCCTAAAAAATTTAAGAATATTAGAGAAATTAGGATTATTCGATATTCATTTTAGTTAAATTATTTATGTCGTTTTCGATATATCATTATAAGACCTTTAAGACCTTTATGGTAGTATCTTTTATATGCAAAAAGGGAAAAAAAAACAGTTATTCAATCTTTTGAAATACAAGTAGAAATCGCATAATTGGCAACAGTATTACTTACTTTTTATTATTAATGTCCAGGACAATACTAATGACCTTGACCTGACATTGTCTCTAATATAAAATGGTCAAAGTTAATTTTACTATACCATGACATATTAATTTGGTCTTTTTGATTCTGTAAAAATTTCATGATCTTTTTAATACAAGAAATTTGAGAAGAATCATACCGTTAACCTTATTTTTCATGTTTTTAATTTTTTTTCATAACTCTTAATTTGATACTACATGTATATTTTTTCATAAAAATTTACTCATGATAAAGAACTTTCACTTTATGCCTAACATGGCCCTGTAGAAATACCGACTGATTGATTAACACTTGTTTCTCCATTTGAAAATAGAGTCTTAGTGTTTTAATTTCCTATTGTTTTTTTTCATGAAAGTCCAGAGTTTGATTAACAACTTATGATATTGCAATGTTCTTGAATTTTAAGATAAAGAATATAAGGGGCGACCACTGCCTCTGTATCTACATAATGATACATATGCCTCACTGAAATCTTGGATTTTAAGGTGTTTGGTCAATGATAAAGGCCTACTTGATTTCAAGTTGCATGTAAATGGCTCGGAAAAGTGTCTTCATACATCCCATTTCGAGTAAAATTGCTCCAACGTTTTATCATCACACTTTGGATGTGTTTCTTGTGTCTCTTTCAGTATCAAATAACGATTTTCACAAATATAGAATATTCCCAGACATAAATTGACATATACATGTAAATTGACACACAATAACTGATCAAAAGTAGTATTTTACAAAAAAAAAAAAATACAAAACAGAATCGAAAAGTAAACGCCTTAAGCCGATTTATATCTTGTCAAAATCTACGTCGAACTGTTAGTGCAATACATGTATCTTCTTTCAAATATGGTCAATCGTCCGTCTCATATGTATATATAAGTCATGAATAAGTTTAAAAACTTCAATGGGAATTAAAGTGGGTTAGTCCTTACAGGATTTTATCATGTAACCGACCAACGTAAATCCCATTGAAGTTTTTAAGCTCGATATCTATTTCTTAACTAATAAGTGAATTAAAAAAACACTGACATATGCACGCAAAATCCAGTCTCATTTTTTTAATATGACCCCGTGTCAAGCAATGATGACTGTTGCTAGCCGGCGGAGGGGGGTCATGTTTCGTGTTTTAGAGGATGATAATGCTTAACATAACGTTTTCAAATATTTTTTTTGTTATGATATAAATGTAATAATTGTCACAGTAAACAATGAACATGTTCGATTACACTGAAAACAGTAACATGTGTGTTACACACTCGAAACAGTTATGTCCCTCCACGGAATAGCTATGCCACCCTCTGTTTTTTTTTTTTTTTTACGCTAAAGTAGAGAGTATGGTGCATCCAGAAATTTCCCCTGCTTTTTCAATGACAATTTTACATGCATTGTAAGATACACAAAGAGAAACATGCGAGGTTATCATAAAATTACAAAGAGTACACCAGAAAGACAAATGAAATATTTGATTTTTCTTTTTCATCCTGTAAATTGAAATTCGGATTCAGAAACATTATCAAGTACAATAATCTCCTATTCTGATTATTTACTTTTGTTTTCTTTTTTGTGTCACGTGGTCAAGCTGGCTATCTTCAAAAAATCACACAACTTCAACTAAGTTTAATAAATTTATTTACAAAAAAAATAAGAAGAATAATAACAAAGAACTAACACCATCTACCGCACTCTGATCCACACCTCTTACTCACTATTAAAC